TTTTTTATTTTTGGGGCTTGAACTCTGGGCCTGGCCGCTGTCCCTCAGCTCTTCAGCTCAAGGCGAGCGCTCTACCACTTGAGCTACAGCGCCACTTCCCCAATGTAAGCTTTTCTTACTTTTCCTTCTGTATAGATGTGCTTGTTCTCCTGCAAGGTTTACCATCTACAGAATACTTGGGAATGACCCAGATTCAAATTCCAGAGAAAAGCAAAGAAGCCTGTCATCCTAGCTACTCAGGAGGCTGAGATCTGAAGGTTGTGGTTTGAAGCCAGCCTGGGCAAGGAAGTTCATGAGACTCTTATCTCCAATTAACTACTAAAAAGTAAAGCTGTGGCTCAAAATGGTAGAGTGCTATCCTTGAGCAAAAGAGCCCAAGGACAGTGCCCAGGCCCTGAGTTCAAGCCCCAAGTCAGACCAAAAAAAAAAAAAAAAAAGCTGCAATAGAGAATAGGACGAAACCAAAGCCATAATTATTTCTAAGTAGACTAGAATGTGCTTGAGTTTTGTCATAAAATCTGTACAAGCTCTCCATTTGGGAGATACAGACAGGGTCCAAAGGCCCAAAAGGTTAGCCTGGCAATGGGATCTACTGAGCACAGGCTCTGGTCCCAGGCGCCGCAGGGCCAGGAGGGTCAGTCAGCCATGTGAAATTCTTACTCATCAAGAGTAATCTTGGTTAAGGTTGAAAGCCAGAGTAAACACTTCTCAACTTACCAATGTGCACCCTGAATGCATGCTTTCTCTTTAAGTTGGTGATTGTAGACTTTTCCTCTGGATATCTGTCTGTGTGCAGTAGCTTGTCTGCACTCTCAATTCCTGTCAGCGCTAGGAAGTCTTGAACGTTTTTCTCTATCTGCTTATTTTCCCTAGCAGAAAACTTGCCAAATCTAATCGCAACACCTAGGATTGAAGGGGAGAAGAGAAAGTATGTGTTGTCAATAACAGACAAAAGCAAACCTACTTCTTCCAGCATACCAGCACTGGCCGGCACCCATCTGCCAGGAGCAGCCGTGCTGGTGCACTTGACATTGGAGCCCCAGACGCTACTTGCAGAGCCCCACCTTTTTGATCAGACTTCTGCCAAGCCAGGCCTCTTCTCCTACAATCCTCCACTGCCAACAGGGATCTTTCCTGCCTCACTGATCACTTTTTCAAAGTCTTTTTTTTTTTTTTTGGTCTGGTCGTGGGGCCTGAACTCTGGGCCTGGGTGCTGTCCCTCAGCTCTTCAGCTCAAGGCTAGCGCTCTACCATTTGAGCCACAGTGCCACTTCTGGCTTTTTTCTTTTTGCTTATGTGGTGCTGAGGAATCGAACCCAGGGCCTCAGGCATTCAAGGCAAGCGCTCTACCACTGAGCCACCTTCCCAGCCCAACTTTTTCAAAGTCTTTTGTATGTGTGTGTGCCAGTCCTGATGATTAAACACAGGGCCTTAGTGCTGTTCTTGACCTTTCATGCTCAAAGCTAGCACTCTACCATGTGAGCCACGGGGCCACTTCTGGCTTTTTGGTAGTTAATTCTTCCCTATGCAGTGGTAGTATTCTGCATGGGCTGGCATAGGCAGGCAGAATGTCACAGGTTCCTATGCATAGGAACCACATGCTACTTCACTTTATATTAGCTTCTTTTCTGAGAACCACCTGTTGAATATTGTTCTCTTTTGTGGTGGTAAAAACTGAAACATAAGTTTATGAGATGTAACTAAAATATCACTTTATGGGTTTTTTTTTTTTTGGTCGGTCCTGGGACTTGAATTCTGGGCCTGGGCTCTATCCCTCAGCTCTTCAGCTCAAGGTGAGCACTCTACCACTTGAGCCACAGCACCACTTCTGGTTTTGAGTGGTTTATTGGAGATTAGAATCTTTCGGACTTTCCTGCCTGGGCTGGCTTTGAACCATGATCCTCAGGTCTTAGCTTCCTGAGTAGCTAGGATTATAGGTGTGAACCACCGGCACTCGGCTCACTTTGCTTCTGAACTAATTGATTAGCTCCCTAAACTGAAGGAAGATGGACTTTTAATTTTCTCTGTGTTTGTGATTTTAACTAAGTATCACTATTCCACAAAACTATGAAATATGTGAAATTTATGGAATCACCTAATCTCAATTAAAGAAAAGAAGTGAGAGAAGGGATGGGTTAGAAGAGATGGATGACAATGTTGTCAGACACTTTGTACTCATATACTGTTTTGTTGGATGGGAACTTCTTTGTACAACTACTTAAAGAAAATTTTTAAAAAGAAAAAAAATTTTCTGTTTGTGCCCACACACACTTGTGCATGTTCACCAGTACTGGGGTTTGAACTCAGGAACTGGGTGCTGTTCCTTAGCTTTTTCATTCAAGGCTCCTGTTCTACTACTTAAGCCACACCTCCACTTCCAGATTTTTGGTATTTAATTAGACAAGTCTCATAGACCATGATCCCTGTACCTCAGCCTCTTGAGTAGTTAGGATTACAGGCATGAGCACCAGCACCCAGCCCTTTCACTTTTTCTAACAATCAGTAGTATTAGGCCCCACACAACAGATATTCAGTAAATACTGCTCATTGTTTACACAGCTTCAAATTTATGGCTTACTTTTAAATCCAATGAGCTTTTTGGGTGGTTTTTCTAACACAGTAAAACAGAGGATCAAGTGGATCATACCCATGATATACACTCACCCTCAAATGAACACCTTGAAGGAAAAAGCCACTCCTCATCTAAGGGAACATTGCTCACCTGAGCGCTTAGATTGTACTTTCACTTTTTTATCCTTTTCAGCCTGGAGGTGTGGCTCAGTGGTTAAGGGTGCCTACCTTGTAAGGCATAAGGCCCTTAGTTCAGGACCCTTCTCCTCACACAGGTAACAACTCTGAAAGGAGGAGCTGGGGCTGGGAAGATGGCTCAGTGCTAGAGCGCTTGCCTTGCATGCCTGAGGCCCTGGGTTCAACTCCTCAGCACCACATAAGCAAAAAGAAAAAAGCCGGAAGTGGCACTGTGTTTCAAGTGATGGAGTGCTAGCCTTGAGCTGAAGAGCTGAAGGACAGAGCCCAGGCCCAGAGTTCAGGCCCCACGACCAAACCCCCGCCCCAAAAAAAAGGAGGAGCTCAAGGCTGCTTTCCCAGTCTAAGTCATTTAGAAAAGCAGCCAGCAAAGTGTAAGGACCACTGCGTTGCCAGTGACAAGCTCACCTTGGGCTTTAAACTCTCTAAACCGCCCCAGGTCATCCCGATACATCCGCTTAATTGTGGTGGCCGCCCTTTCGCTTATGTCAGGAATGAACTCTTGAAGCTGTCTCACAGCAGAGTCCAAGTCCACTTCTGAGTCCTCAAAATCTTCGGCTAAGTGTCTTGTTGCCGAATCCCCAGACCGTTCCAAATTGCTTTCTTCTTCACTGATACGCTCTAATCTAAGAGGAAAAACTAGGTTAACATTAACCATCACTCGGATCTGGTAACTTTTAAGCCCTTCCCATCTCTCACTTAGTCTACAACAGCATTTAAACTAGACAGGACCTTGGCCTTGTTTTCAGTCTATGATTTTCAACCTCTGGATTGAAACCTATGTTACTTGTACATATATACACATTTGTATACTCACACATGCATGCACAAGCATTCCTACACACACACACAGGTGCACATGCATCCCTACACACACACACACACACGCACGCACGCACGCACACATGCACGCACACATGCACGCACGCACTCTAGACAGTAATGTGAAGTCCAAAGCCTTGCTCCACTTCTACATTTTTATCTCTCTGTGCAACTGTTCTCGTCTTTCTGGATTTAGATACTAACTGTCCAAGTGAAACCCTCTCTGATTCCCAGCAAGAGATAGTGAAGTTTTAGAAAACAACCAACTACTTCATTAAAGCGCCATCTAGAGCTCACATAGTAACAACTATTTTTGCAGCTAATACCAGAGGTTTCCCCTTTCCTTTGCTGTTTCTTATGTACCCTTCCCAGTTTCTCACAAGCTCTGCCATTGGTCTAAATCTGCTCATAGGATGTTCAGGCCTATTGGTTAAAGGACTCAGACAGGTTAACAGTTAACACCTTTCAGAGGGCACACTGCCCAAGGAAGTTAGGAACTACACTCCTGCCTTGTGGTAAGTGTTCTCAAAATGTCCCCCCCAATAACCTAGCATAGAGGACAATGTAAGTCACCCATAGCTTCAATCAGTGACCTCTCTGAAGGGGCTCTTGCACTTAACTTTAAGGATATCACTGAGCAAAAACGGAAGAAAAATTTGAATCCTAAGAACTACAAGACAAAGTGAAAAAGTAAATCCTGAAACATGCATTCTTGTAATCCCAGCTAATATGGAGGCAGAGGTCAGAAGGATCATGGTTTGAGGCCAGCCTGGGCAAAAGGTTAGGAAGACCCCATTTCACCAAATAAACACCATGTCACACATGCCTGTAACACAGATATGTGGAAAGCATATCTAGGAGGACTGTGATCTGAGGATGCTTCTGGAACAAAACTGAGACCCTACCTGAAAAATAACTGCATCATAAGTATAGTGAAACACCAGCCTAACAAGCGTGAGGCTCTGAGTTCAAATCCCATGTAGTACTACCAAAATTTTTAAAAGCCCTTTTATTAATTCATCAGGCAGTATACTTAAATGGTATATATGTGAATGTTATCTAAATTCCCGAAGTTAGTAAGAATCTTAAGGTTTGTTTTGCTGATCTGCAGAATTGTAAGACTGATGTATTCAATCCTTGCTTCTTTTTATATAAGCACATAGACATAACTAAGAGAATTCGGGACTAGGCTGGGCCAAGTTCGCTGGATTAAATGTGTGCAATGCAAGCCTTACGCCCACCTTGGACCTCAG